AGCGTTGTCGCTTGGGAAGGTCGAGTGGCTTCAGTTCTTACACAAAGCTGTATTTTGTACGCTTTCAATCTAAAATCTCGACGTAAAATGCGACAAGTCGTTCCTTGCGTCAATCCAAGTTTTTGCGAACGGCGCCGAATCGACTCTCCACGGTTGCTGTGTTATCTTCACTGCGTGCGGGACGTAGTCTGTTCGGTCGAATTTTATCCAATAATGAATGCTGGGTCTCAACATAGCTGATGGTGTTGCGAATAGTACGCTCAGTAGGCCGAATATGTTGATCATAAGTTGAGCAAACGTTATTTTCGTAATAAAGTTGAAGGATTTGTTAACATTGTTTAAGCGTAAGTCTTTCTATTGTCAAATTTCTAATTAACTTTTTCGAACTCAGCTCCACCGACTAAGCATTGTCCAAAAGTTTGGCCACAAAACAATAAAAATATATGTAAATAGACTTGCAACTATAACTGACCATATCATTACGACAGATCTAAGCTTGTTTAGTGAACCATAACTCCGGCATGTCAACAAAAACTATTGAGTGCCACTAATGTCAATTGTTATAATATTAACTTAAAGGTGTCAACAATAAAGTACCTACAACACACGAATCCGCCTGAAATTATACCCATTCATTTTCGAAAATCACCAACAATTTGGTGACACTTCGGTGGAACGCAATTTCATTGACTATTAATGACGCCTATTTTTTCACGCTTGACGTCATAATGGCCCAATCGGAGATACACGCAAAGAAAATTATAAATATGAACCTGTTAATCAATATTTACACTTGATGACTACTTAATCATTTGTGCTGCATATGAAACGTAACAGAAAACAAGTAAGAAATGGCTAAGTTCGGGTGTCACCGAAAATTTTATACTCTCGCATGATAAAGTGATAATCGATATTTCATTGTCCGTCATTTACATATTTTTTTATTTTGCTGTAAAATTAATTAGATTAGATCAAATTGATGTGTATACTTTGAGTATTGAATTGTATTTTCATTTATTTTAATTGTATTGAAAAGTTATAGTCCGATCACAACAATTTTTCCACAAGAGATACCTCAGCTTAAATACCCTATTTGTGTAAAGTTTTATTCCGCTATCATGATTGGTTCCTAATGTATATATTATACAGAGAAGGCATCAGATGGAATTCAAAATAGCGTTATATTGGAAGAAGATGTGGTTGTGAACCGATTTCACCCATATTTCGTTACATGTCATCAGGGTGTTAAGAAAATGTTATATACCAATCCTGAGATATGGTTCTTGGTCCATAAGTGGGCGACGCCACGCCCATTTCCAATTTAAAAAAAGCTTCCTTCTGCCATTTCTTCCATAAAATTTAGTGTTTCTGACGTTTTTTGTTAGTTGGTTAACGCACTTTTAGTGATTTTCAACATAACCTTCGTATGGGAGGTGGGCGTGGTTATTATCCGATTACTTCCATTTTTGAACTGTATATGGAAATGCCTGAAGGAAACGACTCTTATAGAGTTTGGTTGACATAGGTATAGTAGTTTTCGAGATATGTACAAAAAACTTAGTAGGGGGCGGGGCCACCCCTATTTTTCGAAAAAAAATTACGTCCAAATATGCCCCACCCTATGGCTTAGTTATGACACTTTATAGGTTTTCGGTTTCCGCCATTTTTTGGGCGTGGCAGTGGGCCGATTTTGCCCATCTTTGAACTTAACCTTCTTATGGAACCAAGAAATACCTGTACCAAGTTTCATCATGATATCTAAATTTTTACTCAAGTTACAGCTTGCACGGACAGACAGACATCCGGATTTCAACTCTACTCGTCACCCTGATCACTTTGTTATATATAACCCTATATCTGACTCTTTCAGTTTTAGGACTTACAAACAACCGTTATGTGAACAAAACTATATTACTCTCCTTAGCAACTTTGTTGCGAGAGTATAAATATTTTTTTTATTACAAGTTAACAGGCAGTGGTCGTGTTATGATAGAGAAGTGCGAGCTGTTTCCTCGATTTTTGTCAATTGAGCAATTGTGTGTCGACTGCTAATTACTGTGCGTCATTAACGAATCGATAAATGTACGTATGTTTGTTTAGGCAAACAATCGATGATTTATAAAAAAAATGGAATACTTTTACAAGAGGTTTGAATATAAATATATTAGAATTAGTAGAATTGTCATATTTTTGCTATTCTACGGCCTTGTTGATTTATAAGTTCTATTATGGGAGAGTATTTCTTTTATTGTTGGTAGAATACCTGTATAGGAACGCTGTTTGTATTTCAGCAAATAATTTAATTAAAAACATTTTGAGAACTGCAGACAGATTTGAACAATGAACGAATAGGCATATTGCTCAACACAAGTTACACTCGTAATTCCCGTTTTGACTCATTCTTGCAACAAAACGTCAATTGTGTCATTCGCCAGTTACCAAGTCGAACCTTCAAAAATTAAGTGCCAAAGAATATTCTTTGGAATGATAATAAGCATTATTCATTAAATTCGAAGCTAGGGGTTTTCTAAGAAAGAGGGGACCTTGAAATGGATCACCCTATATATGAACCGATTCACAGAAAGTTCGTCGCTTGATCTCGAAACACTTCACTGACCATCCAATTGTAGCTATTGTAGTTGCCTTTCTTAGGTCACTCCTCTCAAGAATAACCCACTATCCATAGTGTTCTGGTAATACAGTTGATAATAAGTCATCGATATTAAGGGAACTTTAGAAAAATCGAGCTATAGCAACTGCACGATCACAGTCAAGTATTACTTGTAAGAGACACTTTTTTATTTGACAAGATCTTAACAAAATTTGACATAGATTACTATATAAGGCATTAAAGCCATTTCCAGAGAAATTATTCAGATCAGATTCAGACCACTATAGCATATAGCTGGCATACAAAGTAATCGATAAAAATCAAGATAAAGATCTTTTACACCGTTTCATCCTATAAAAAATGCTCTTGTTAAGGGTATTGTAGCCTTGGAGCAGCCGAAGATAACTTTTTTTTGCTTTAATTACGCACTACAACAACTAATCTGGAGGGTGAGAAATTCCAAGTCAGGGTGATGGTACTAGGTCAGTATAGTAAAACCAGTGTGTCAGTTTTTTTTTTATGACCTTTTAAATTTTTTTCTTATTTCCCATGGTTTTCCATCTTAACAAATTAATTTTTTCCATGGTCCAGATATACGAAAGCTGATTAAAAGTGACGCATTCAACAATATTTTGATTGACGCTGAATTGAGTGCATGGCAGGCAATCAAAAAAGTAATAGAAGGCTTGTTGGGAAAGCATCGTTCTAACAAGTACGATGTTTCTGTCGCAAGGATGTTAGAATGTTTTTTTT